AGTCTTGGTTTGAACACTTAAACAGATGGATCAGGATCCAAATATTGCATATAAAATCACTATATTCATCACCTTAAGCCATCAACGGGCTATAGAATGCTGTGCCTGGCAGATGTGTATTCACAATCCTGTGCACCTGTACTTCATCAAATGTCTTGCTCACCATTCTAAAGTTCCACTTTTTTGGTTTGTTTACCTGCCCTTTGGCCTTGCTACAATCCTAGGTAATTTTCCAAATATTACATCTAGTCACATCCTTCTTGAGTGAACAAGCATTCCAGCTATTACAGCGACATTCAGCATGCTCATACTCTGGCAGTCCATGAAACCATCCTAAGTTAGGCTCTGATCAAATTAGAAGCGATCGCCAAGGGGGAAAGCCAAAGTGCTCTAGTGCTTGCTGAGGCAGACTATACCTCTATCCTACCCCTTGGCATCCCAGGTTGACAGGACAACTCCTTTGTCTCTCATGTTGCCAGAATCAATTCAACTGGTGACATTGGACTAATTGGCCGCTAAGAGTCTTCCAACAGGGTTCTTCAGACGATAGAGAAAACATTCTCTGTGGCTTTGGTTCTGGATGATTCCAAATATGAGATTCTTGGCTGTGGCTGAAGGCGGCAAGCCTATTTCAGCTGTTATCTATGTCCCTATCCAGTGATCATGTTAATAAGAGATTCCTATGTGCAAATCACTTCAACAGCCCTTTGGTTAAAGGTCAGTGACAGTCCATCAAGAGGAAAATGTCTTCAGCATCTTGGAGTTCGAGAGCCTTTCAGATCCAAGGAACCTCTGTATTAGTTCAATGAACAACTGAATTATGTTTTTTCCATAGATGTATTGTCTGCCCATAGGTGTCGGAACTGCTCACTGCTGATGGAGGTACCTTCAAAAAATAAAAAAAAGGATTCAGCGCTGAACTCCCCAGCATTTCCTGGCTGACACTATAAGCCACAAAGCCCTGGACGACAATTAATGTTTTCCTTTCCAGCAGTTTCCTGTGGATCAGCAGCAAGTGAGTTATCCAGATCTTATCCTGATGGTAATCCCTAACAGCACAGAGTGCAAACACTCCTTGTCAAGAGAACGTTCTAAGGGAACGAGTAATGGATATTCTATTGCATATATGTTTCCTCAGTCCAAATGGATTCAGGTTCCTAAATGGCACCCACAATTATCCAGGTATGGTGATGGCAATCATTGCTTGTGGCCCATCTGTCCAGGGCTCCCTCTCTTGTAGTCTCTGACCCTGGAATCTTCTTGTCATCCTTAATATTCAGACCTTCTACAGCAGTTGCTACATCCAAAACTACCTTAAGTGGCTTGGAGGTTGGAAGTGAAGTCTGCCGTGCCTGGATTACTCATCTACAGTCAGAGTGTTTGTTGAATAATGTAGCACCTACTCAACATCACATATATTCTACAGTGTGGAATCATTTCATAGACTTCGCAAGCTTAATAGGTTTGGTCTCTCTTCACCTTGCCATAACAGATATGTTGGACTTTCTTCAGGCAAACCATGTCTACTTGTGTGTCAGTATTACACTCTGGGTTCGCTCTTCCGCAGACTGTCATCCCTACGGATAGAATTAAGTAATGTACCTCCAGAGTTATTCCGGAAGGCAGTAACCTGCCATATGTTCCTGTCCCATTAGAGGGTCTATCCAGGAGTATGATCCATGGGGAAGTTGGTTCTGAATGTGGTACAAATAATGTATTATCTCAGAATTACCCTCCCTGTTTGTGTGATCGCTATATTCCATTGTATGCTGCCATGTACGGTGTCAGGAAAACGGGAAATTGTATACTTGCCTATCGGTAATTTTCCTTTACTGGCAGCATACAGGACCCTCCCATGGCTTTCGCATTGAGTACTTGTTACGAGAATGGTGGCCTTGGGAGGCGGGCTTTAATTTATAGTATAACTGGTCCTGTGATTGGGCTGGGGGCGGAGCCATACCCATTGTATGCTACCATGTACTGGCATCAGGAAAGGAAAATTACCGATAGGTAAGTATACAATTTTCCGTTATTTCTGTATTGGGTGAACTCAATGGGCTTGTGTCTTTTTTTCCAGCCTCACTAACTACACAAAAATCACACTGGCCTGCCTACAATTAGGACAAGTGCAGTGGTGCATATTAGGGTTGCACAGATACCAAGTACCGTACTCGGTACAAGTACGAGTACATGTACCGATACTTTTGAGCTCCAAGACTAGACTAGCGAAAAATTCAAAAGTTAGGAGGCAGCTGTCATGTGTAAGGAGCACACGGAGCTCCTGGGATTTGTACATCTCTGTTTTAATGTACGATTTTGTTTTTATAAATATAAATAAAGTGATGCACAGATACCAGTTTTGCGAGTACGAGTACTGGTACTTGCCGAGTACTTACAAGTACGAGTACTGATACATTTTTGTTTATTCTCATGCAACGGTTTTTCTAAAACAATACAGACTAATGATTTCAGGACAGTGGTGGAGTGGCAGAGCTAGGTACCAGCTGCAACAGCTGCAACCCTGGTAGTTCTCATGAAAATGCCAAGTATCTGCACTGGTACTCGAAAAGTATCTGTGCATCCCTAGTGCATATGCTACACCTTGGGAAACACTACCCCACACTGAAACACTCCCAACCATTTGTGACTTTTGTGGGATAGTACTGCTTATCATCATGGTTTAATTATGTATTTCACCACAATATCAAGAGATAATAAAATGTGTATAATATCATATAATGCAGCTGCATTGTCAGGCAAAACATATAAAGTCTTCTTATTCTCCACCACCAAGTTTGTCACATCTCTTGTGTGATTATCATTGCTTACTCATAGCATTAATATATTTTATGGATCAAACAGATTTCTGGTTCAATACGTACCTCCAAGGATAATGAAGAAAGTGAAACATTAAAATGATATTTAGTTTGTAAAATCACTGTGAGTCATAAACAATTAGCATATTTTTTAATATAAACTAATGTTTTCAACTTTTGTTCTGTGTGGGGTTTGAGGAAGAGGCTGGTGGCCCAGTGGCAGAGCTGGTGGAGGAGGCCGGGTCCCAGTGGGGATGGTAGAGGAGGAGGCCGGGGCCTGGAGGGTGGAGGTGCAGGAGGTCGGGGGCCCAGCAGCGGGCGGCACAGGGCTGACAGGTAAGAGGAGCGCAGTGTGCAGGGAAAGGGACCCTGACCAGCCCTCCTGAGACCCTGCATAGAGAGTCTATGGTGGGCACTGCAGGGTCACTCTCAGGTGGCGTTGCAGGTGGGCTCTGCAGGGTCTCAGGTGGGGTTGCAGGTGGGCTCTGCTGCAGTGTGCAGGGAAAGGGACCCTGACCAGCCCTCCTGAGACCCTGCATAGAGAGTCTATGGTGGGCACTGCAGGGTCACTCTCAGGTGGCGTTGCAGGTGGGCTCTGCAGGGTCTCAGGTGGGGTTGCAGGTGGGCTCTGCAGGGTCTCAGGTGGGGTTGCAGGTGGGCTCTGCAGGGTCTCTGGTAGGTTGTGCGGGGTCTATGGTCGGCTCTGCAGGGTCTCTGGTGGGCTCTGCAGGAGTGAGCATTCATACAGTTTTGTTAAAAAAGGTTAAGAACTAACATAAAAGCAGATGAACAGCGCTGTATAACAATTCCTCCAGCCAATTTTCCAGCACAGTATGCTATATACCATCCCTCCAGTTAACCGGAAGAAACTCTTACTTTCTGATCCTAGACCCTGCAGGCCTGATAATATCAGCGTGTGTGCTCCAGCCTCCTCCCGACGCGTTTTGTCAGTAATTAACTTTTTCCAAGGGCAATGCACTTTGTTGGATAAAGCCTGAAAAGGATTTTCGTCACATGCGTTGGACTTTGTGACGGACTGAACCGTCATTGGGGCTGCTGGAGGAGCCTTAGGGCTAGCCTCCTTCCTAGCGACTACGGACCTATGATTATGGAGACCCCCCTTTGTTGGGTTGAACTGGGTGTCCGGGGCCCGTGGACGGCTGTTGCGGGGAGCCTGGCCCTACAGCCGTCCGATTTCACAATTCAATAACAGCTCTGGAAACCTAATGTTAATGACAATGGATTATCCCAGCAGACGGACCAATCCCTGCTGACCCTGTTTCAAGTCTTCATTTGCGTGGCCACACATATCAGCCCTCCCATTCAAGCTATCGGACCAATCCCTGTTGACCCTGTTTCAAGCCTTCATTTGCATGGCCACACATATCAGCCCTCCCATTCAAGCTATTGGACCAATCCCTGCTGACTCTGTTTCAAGTCTTCATTTGCATATTCAATAGGAAGGTGTTGGTTTGGGCCAGGTGTTCAAACTGTTGTGTATAAAAGTGTGTTGTGTGCATTCAATAAAGCAGATTCCTGTTGGAACTTACATACAGCCTGCCTGGTGTTTGTTCTGAGCTATCACAACTGGATTCGAACGGCACATATCTGTAGTTCGAATCCCGGAGCATCGGACGACCGAGAAATCAGACGTTATGGTCTGAAATCTGAGGAGTAATGGGAGAGTGAACCGAGCGAGCAGACCTCGACTCGTTACAGACTCATTCACAGACTTTATTTGGGACTATTTTGAAACAACACAGTGGTTTATGAGATTACAAGTTTATGATATAACTAGTTTTATTTGTATGTTTTATATGTGTCAAATGTTTTAGGAGTAATTATTAATTTTAAGCGCGGTGTATTTATTGGGATATTTGATAAGAAGTGGGGTTCTACACTTTTTGACACACCAACTTTAGACTAAGGGATTATCACCATTTTAGGGTAGAAGCGCAGGTCTGTTTTTTCTGTTGATTAATTTGTGGTGATGACCTGCTATATTGATGATATAGCTTACATGATATTTAATAAATGGGATTGGACTTGCCCCCAGTTAGGATATAGGCCCATTTTACACCCATTCCTGACAAGTCTTACAATTTTTAAGAAAAGATAAACAGTAATTTCTGCAATTTGTGTTAATACCATACTGTACATTTGACAGGAAAATGAATGCATTACCTGCACTTTCCACAAGATGGCAAGACAATCCCAACCTGCAGACACTATATACTTAGAATCTGGACTGAAACACACTGTCTCCACGCTCTTACTGTGATCTAAAAAAATTTGAAAAAAAGAGATGAGGTTCATGTAAGTTGGAACCCAAGTCATCAGCGTTAGCCTCACTCAGTTGTAGGTTTCAAGTGAAGGGTTTAATGATTCTTTTTAAGACAATTATTGATGTTAATTTACAAATGATATCTATAGTTAGAGATAGCAACAATGAAGGACTAAACTGCAATATTCTACAAATGAATTGCCGTTGTCTTACTTGTTTGCCTTTCTAGAAGATACCTGTTAGCACATGGAGACATTCTGCTTTGTTCACCTTCCATATCCGCACTGTACAATCAAGTGATGAGCTAGCAAAAATGGTACCATCTGGAGAAAAGCAGCATGATTTGACAGGCCCTGCAGAATGAACATATTGCATGTCACAACATAAATTGTGAAGAAATTGGAATTACACTTTTGTCATGTCTGTGGACCAACAAAAAAAGAATGTGGTAGACTGTACTTCATAGACATATATTATTTTTTTCTATAAAATTCAGTATAAACCTACAGGGGGGAATTTATCAAAACTGGAGCACACAAAATCTGGAGCAGATTTGCACTGCAACCAACCAGCTTCTATCTCTCATTTTCAAATCTCAACTGAGCAAACTGAAGCGAGATGCTGATTGATTGCCATGGGCAACTGCTCCAGTTTCTGTCTGCTCCAGTTTTGACAAATTCCCCCTACAGTATTTGTCATAAGAAAATATATACGTGAGATTACTGGCATCCAAAAACCCAAGATCTGATCATTAATTGATGCATTACATGTTTGACACCCACTGAATAAGCGGACCATAGACCAGTGCCAGCTTTTTCTCTCTCCCACGGGGGTGTCCAGGAACCGGATGTAGGCACGCGCGTGTGTGTGATCCAGCGTGGAGGATGTTCCGGCCATCCTGATGCTTTCCCCTTAATACTGCTGGTGCTATTTTCCTCTAAAGTGGACTGGCTGGGACAAAGGGTCGGGTGAGCAGCAGGAGGGGAAGTCCCCCCAACACGTACCTGGGTCCAGGGTGCTGGTGGTGTGGAGGTGAGCTGCGGTGGGTGTGCGGCAGCGGGCAGACGCTGGTCTGTCGGCTGACAGAGTGGAGGAGACCTGGTGGACATGGTGTCAGCTCCCTCTAGTGGCTGAGACTGGGAGGTGCAGTGTGCTGGTCTGTGGAGGAAATGCTGGTGGAGGGGAGTTGGCTCCACCTAGAGGCTAAAGAAAAAAAGTGCAGCTTGGCAGACTGTAAAGGTGAGCAGCATTAAAGAATATGACCAGGACAAAAAAGAAGACTGTGCAAGAGGCTGGTAGAAGTGGGGGAACTAAGCAGTCACCCCGTATGTCTAGACAGGCCAATAAAGAGAAGCAGAAAGAAGTGGCGTCACGATTGGAAACATTTGCTAGAGTATCTACAATGGGTATGGACGCCAATCAAACAAATAAAATGCGATTAAGTTTGGTGGACAAACCTCTGTGTAAGTGCCTGAGGATGTGCTTGTGGGGGGGGGGGGGGGGAGAGGGGGAGAGTTGGGCTA